TCTTATGAACAAGTGAAAATTAGATTTTTTTTTTTTTTTTTTTTTGTCCTCTATTTTCAGGGAAACTACATTAAGAATGGAGAAATAGGGATTTCTGCAGACCAAATATGCTAAAAGCTAGATGAATATTAGTTAATATCTCATAATCCTGCTACATTGCAGTTCAGTTTGGAATGTTTCTTTTGCCAACTGATGTACTGAGATTTGAAGGGGAGTATATTCACATTGCAATATAAAACTTTCCCAGAAAGATAGGCAGAGGAAGTTTTATCAGATAAAACTTGAAGTTTTGCTGAGAAGACAGCAATTTTTCTAGACAATTGCAATCTCTTAAGTAGTGTAAAGAAAACTGGCAAGATAAGGTAAAGGTGAGCACACAATAGACAAACGCAGGTTGAACTGATGAAGAAAGTAAAATGGTAAAATGCATTTGTAAATGTATAAAGCAATGACTTACTGGTCAATACACATGTACACGCGTGTTCTCTCCCTCTCCCTGGACAAAGAATAGGGTATAGGACCACAACAGAAGAAAGATAATATTTAGAAACGTTTTTCTGGTCAAAAATTTAAATTAACCCTTTTAATTTACCATCTATTTTTGTTCTTTAGAGTTCTACTTTGTTTATACTCCTTATTAGCTTGTAAATGTCTAAACTCTAATTTTAGAAGTACTGTTTTAGCAAACATTTTGTTTAGCGCTAGTCTCAGAGTATCATTAATAGCTGCTAGCATTATTGACCTAGCATCTTTAACATTCATGCACGTACACATGCACGCACACACTTATAGTAACAGTTTCATTTTGAGTATTTATTTCTAATTCATTTAAAGAATCCTTTTCCTGTCTTTTCATTATGTTTGTTACAGCTTTGTTGTGATAGAATAAAAGTGAAGTACCCTTCAAATCTTTTATCACTTGTAAGTTTTTAATCAAACCCTTGAAATTACTCTGGGAAAACTGAATAACACTCCAATGTTTATGTTTAATGCTTGACTTGCAGTAGACACATATACATATTTGCAAATTGCCAACTGCAAAAAAAATGTAATATCTGACATCAATGTAAGGTCTCTTTCCCCCCCCCCCCCAAAATGAGGCAAAACTGAAAACTGTCAGTATTAACCAAAATACTATGTACTTTATTCTTAGGTGTATGTGGCTGCTTTTGCAGTATCTGCATATGCATCCAGTTACTACAGAGCTGGAAGTAAGCCATTTAATCCTGTACTTGGAGAAACCTATGAATGTATCCGTGAAGATAAGGGCTTCCAATATTTTTCAGAGCAGGTATTGTGTTTTGTGCTACATAAACATACTGTTGTTTATTTAATAGGCTAATTAATTGTGGATGTGTGGCAGGAGTCCACTGGTGCTAGCAACAAAATGTGAAGAAGCTAAAGGTAATTTGTGCCCATAAGACTCGACACTACAGAATTACAATAGAGATGTTTTCACTCTTCCAAAATGCAGCTCACTCTGGGGTATAACATGTTAATAGCACCCAGGATTTTCTTGATCTCCCATCCAAAAACAAGTGCCTGACTGTGCAATTATCCTGTAAAATCTGGAATTACAGCTTAACATATGGTTGCAGGACATATATACAGCAAAGCAGAGAAGGTCTGAGTGTTTCTGCAAATAGTCTCCCAACAGGAGAATGATTAAAGTGTAACAAAATGCGAGGTTGGAAACCAGCTAAATGAAGCGGAATTGAATTATTAAAATTCTAGACTTAAAAAGGTGCAGGGGAGGGGGATGGAATTTGGTTACTGTGGTATTCTCTGAAGTAAAACAGGTTAAAAACAGTTCGTTTCACCTCATACAGACAGGAGGGGAAAAAACCCAATTTTTCAGTGATATGGAAGCGCTTAAAACAACCTATTAGAAAATGAACTTTGAATTAAACTTTGACGATAGAACCATAGAACCTAAAACACTAGGTCTTTAAATAAGTATTAAGTAATCTTAATATTGTCCTGGGCATTCCTGAGCTGGATAGATGAGAATGGATAGAGCAGGTATTGGATTTAAAATGGTAGTAGTATTCCTGTACTAAACTTCAGATTTATGGAGATGTAATCCAGTGACTCATATGAGTTACACTGGCGTCAAATCAGATTGGAGTAATACAGTGGTGAATTGGGCCCAGTGTTACATTTTGAAGTATTTTGAGTTAATATGAAAGGATTTATCCTTCCTTGACAGGTAGATGAAATGATTAAAACATTTAACTGCGTGTTCTAAACTAGTAAGATCCATCATATAGTTTTCTATGTTAAATAATTTAACTGTAAGTATAGTAGTAGTAGTTGTCGTCTTATTTGCAGCTATTGTTAAAACAATACAATAAAATGAACAATAAATTGTATATAACATAACATTTATATAGATTATAAATTATCATTTTTGCTAAAAGTACAGTAAAAGCTTTGTTAGCTGGCATGAGTGCCTATGCAGATATCAACTAGAAGGGCTTCCAGCAGTTCCTCTATCGACAGCATCACTAACTAATGTAAACAACAGAAATACTTGATGCGCATGCCGGATAGGCTCAGCAAAGGTTCTGGTTGCTAAAGTGAGGATTTGTATTGGGGGTTGTTGGAAATTCCAATTAATAGAGTATTCCAGTTAGTAAAATGCTGGTTAACACAGCTTTTACTGTATTCAGTAATATCCATTCAACTACCATAATGGCCATAGCAGAAGCATTCATGTTGTGGCCCTGTCAGAGTCCAATGAATCTGCTAAATATCTTGTCATCAACAATGTCAGACATGCATGATCCTGAAAAAACATCTAAGTTGCTTGCAGATGTTAAAAAAAAACACCCCTACCCCCGCACTTGAAATTCCGCCTGGTCCTGCACAGAGTCCAGCACATGCTCAGAAGAGGCAGCGGCTTAGTTGGACCTGACCTGCCCAACGGATGTATAGATCAGACACTTTAGTGGGGCTTTTTTGACGCTTTTATCTAATAACTGATTGACTCAGCCTTAGATAAAAGCACCAAAAAGCCCTGCTGAAATGCCCGATCTATACAGATGCTGTAGAGCCGAGTCAAAGTAATGCACTGCTTGTTCTGGTAAAGCACTTTTTTAAACATCTACAAACAGTCCTAGTTTATGACAAGGACACAAGAAGAAAAAGAATCCATTCTACCAGTTTATACAAAATTAAAAGTACTACTACCACTTGTTTAAAAAAGAAAACTTTAAGTGCTAATACACTTAGTTCAATAATACACTTTTACTGGCATGGGGTGAAGGAGCAATAGGTGAGTGCAGAGAAACACAAGAAATAAAAACATACAGCTTGATATAAGTGAGTTCTTCTCCATGTAGGCAGTTAAGTTCTTTGGCCAAGGACCATTGCAGTATGTGGCTGGAGTCGTGTTACATTTCACAGAAGCACATACAGTGGTGATTCAGGTGATTCTACATTCTTACTATAGTAAATCTGGAATAACTATTCAAGCTAGTGAAATCTCTTTGGATTTACAGTGGTGTCAGTGGGTACCTTTGCACATGCACTTTACTGCACCCCATAAAGTGTCACTGTCTACATGTACACCTGTATTAGTGCAGTAAATTAATTTAACTCTGCCATAGGATAGTATTGTCAGGAACAGTACTATCCTACAGCGGAGTAATTACATGCACTGAAACATGTAGACAGTGACAGGCTGGCTGAGGCACGAGGGTGCTAAAGTGCAGGGGCTGCCTAGCCCCACAATTTAGCACCCTTGTGCCCCAGCCAGCCCCTCCACTGCTCAATGCCACCACTCAAGCTGACGCCCTCTGCCAACCTGGGACTGCTCCACCCCAGCTCAAACTGCTGTAGTCCCAGGCTCACATGCAGATGCTGTGCCCAGCAGCTGGTGACTCTGGCACAAACTGCGCTGGAGTTCATCACATCGCCTTAATGGCACACCTAGATGTACCCAGGGACAGCTAAATTTAGACTATAACATTTAGTGAAAGCTGAGAAAGAAAGCATCACCTGACTATGGGTTAGAAAGTGCCAAAGGCCCCCTTATAGTTGGATTTATCACACCCAGAGGGACCTATTTGAATTTAGTTAAAGGAAAATACTGGAAGAGAAAGTATATGTTAACATCATACATGTGGCCAGTTTAATTGGCAGTGAGATTAAAAGTAGTTCGCATTTATTCCTAACTGAAAATAAAGTTGTGCTTTGTCATATCTGTTGCTTTTCTGACATTGAATATCTGTGCCTAGTACATTTTCCACTAACTTCTGCCCAGAGATGAATAGAAAACTTAACTGCAATGAGAACTGCTCCTACACTTGTGTGGGCACTCTATTTCACACAATTTCTTTAATCCCCTGCAATGTTGAATTACAGCCATCACCAAAATAGCAGAGATTGTAAAAATAAGTAAATACATTTTAAGTCATGCTGCTAGTAGAAGCAGATTCTGAGGAAGTGCCAGTGGTGGAAGGTTTAGATATAAAAATGCATAGGTCAAAATGTAGTAGCTGTTGGTCTTAAATAAGGTTATGTGGATTTTTTTTCCAAGTGGTAAGCAAAGCCAACTCCTGTTAAAGTAAATGGGATTCTTGAGTATTCAGCATCTTTGACATTTAGGTTGACACTGCCTTTATTTTGGCATTTGTTTGCTTACAGCAGAAGTGAATTTGGTTTTCAGTTTCTTTAAACGTGTGTTTGCAGCTACCAGGTAATGCATTAATGGGCCCTCCTATAGGCCAGGTGTAGTTACCACGTTAATGGCAATGTACAAAATATGCTGTTAACATTTAACCCAACCACAAATGTCACAGGCCTTTTTAAAGTATTTGCTTCAAATTTACCGCACAACCCTTTGTAAACTCGGTGCTTTATTTATTTATTTATTTATTTTACTGGCTCTTCTCTTGGGACAGAATTCTAAGAGAAAAAACTAGGCATTTAAGCTGGAAAATTTACCTATGGAAAAAAAAAGTAAGATTCATGTGACCATTAAATGTTAATTTTATCACTTTTTCTTCTTTTTGTTAGGTGAGTCATCACCCACCTATTTCTGCATGTCATGCTGAATCTGCAAATTTTGCTTTTTGGCAAGGTAAAAATCCATTTTCTGCTATAGTCCTCATAATTGCTTTATCTTTCATGTAAACGGAAACATCTAGAAGATCAAGAGGAAGAGTTTCCCAGATGTTAAATAATATTAGAACTACTTTGGCAATCTTTGTCCCTAAACTCTGGCATGCTTTCTATAATATTTGCAATTGCATATAATTCATACAATCGTTTCTTATAAAAATTCATTCATGAATGTTAAATACAAACTTATGTACTTCCTAAATGTGCTGAAATGTTTTATAATTTATATTTAAAATACGAACTGCATATCACATTATCAAAACATGGTATGTGAAAATAATAATACTAGGACTGTAAAATTGAAGGCTAGCACCTCGGTGCAGGCAGTTCTGTTTTGCGTATTTAGTGCACATTTTGAGAATTAGCTTAAGTATTTGGACAAGAAACTGGATGTAATGCCGCTTTCTTCCTCTGTTCTGAGTCTTTAGAAGTTACTACAGAATGGCTGGAGTTTTACAAACTGGGCCTTAACAGTCCCTATTTTCCTTTCAAAATTGAGTGCATTAGCTTCTTTTTACAATTACAGCTATCGTTCAGTCATGAGCTGAGTTACCTCAGGATTATTTCCTGAGCAACATATTTTGTATTGTTAGAGTATACAGGTGAAATGTAACTGTTTAAACCCTCAACTATCCAGTATTTTACAATGCATGCTCTAGGTACACTACAACTTTTAATCTCATTATAGTTGGTTGATTTGATTATCGTTATTATAGATGGAGCCATATTAAAAATAAAATGGAGTGAGCTCTAGCTAATCTGGATTTGATTGCAACATTAATATATGCTTCTGCCATGTGTGCATATATATAAAAAATAAAGTATGGCAAGAATTTGCTATTCTTGACCTGAAAGAAATACTGAATAACTGTTTAGTCACTAGATTAGACCATATTAGAAGAAGATTGGAGAAGGAAGAAGCTGCCCAATAAAAATAGAAACAGTGATTCATATGAATCACAAATACTACCTCTGTCTATAGTACCAGTTTGTGCATTAGAGAACAGAATATTCCTCCATAAAAGCTGGCCCTGTAAGTCAGAAACCAGAGTTTCTTTTTGGTACCTGAGAGGACAAATTCAGGGCACATGCAGTCCTTTTAAGAAGTGCTTAGCTGGGCTGTTGGAAGATGCTGATGACATTTTGACTTTTGCTAGGAGAGTGCAGGTGGTTAATGCTGATGCCTGTTTCCCCAGGACAATCCTAAGGATATGTATAGTCCTAAAGGACATTTGTCATTGAGGCAGTTCTTTGGATCATATGAATATCTGTCTCACTATCACATGACCTTCTTTATAGAAAAGGAATTAACTTGGGACTAGTCAAAGGACAGCTGAAAGATAGGAAAATTACCTGACTTTTGCTGAACATAGCAAGACTATAGATTGATTTTTGGAGGTCAAATTTATATTTTTATGGTGGCTGAATTGAAAGTTTTACTATTGAGAGGTCTGTGCTTCCTAGATTGTGGGTGTTGAATAACAGTTTTTATATAGTACTCCTCTCTCTCATTCTCTGCCCCATCCTGCTCTTTCTGTTCAAAATATTGTCCACCAAACAGAATCCATTTTAATTAATCATTCAGCTGAAACTGGTTGCTTATTATGTTGACAGATACTAAAGAGGAGTTGACTTTTTTTTTAGTTGCATTAGAAATGTTAGATAGAAAGCTCCAGTAGTTGTGGTTTCTGTGGTATGACTTCTTCTAATTAATTCATTTAGCACAAAAAAGGGTTTGTGATCTTGTACTAATTTTTTCTTCTTGAGAGGTTTCCAGTGTAGTGGTCTTTAAATCAGACTGTAGATCCGAAAGTTTGCCATAATTACTTGTAAGGCACCTTAACTCTTAAAGTTGGACCCTTAACGTGTCTCTGTGCTAAATCTTTGGCTAATGTTAGCCCCTTGCTGTTTATCTGATGCAGTATTTCAGTTAATATTTCTTTTTAGAGGTGGTATTTTTCCCCCTTCTGTACCCACCAGGTGAAAAGAGAAAAATAAGATTCAGAACATCGGATTTGCCTAAATACTGTCAAAATAATATTGTTTCTGAACCTTTTGTGAAATAGCAATCATGACAGAAATGCTTGTCAAGACTGCTAAAACAGTGTTCACAGTATAATCCCTGCAACCTCGAGGCTGGGGACTGGATCTTTCTTCAAACTGATGGAGGTGGGGGGGTTGTAGGTCCTTTTCTGGGCTCCTCTCTCAAGGGTTGAGGAGAGCAAACTCATTTGAATTGAGTGGGCACCGTAATGTGATTCAGTCAGTCCATTTGTTTTTATGCACCTGAAGAGGGTATCTGTGTGTCTCTAGTCTGAACCCCCTCTCATACAGTGTTCAGAGCTTCCACTCTCCGATTTTTGGGAAGAGCATAGGATTGAGATTTTTGGTGTGCTCTACGAATTGCATTAATCACCTTTTTAGGCTTGGGAAGGAATATCTTCATTATCAGATTGGCCAGGGTGGATGAGGTTTTACCTACTTTCCCCATAGCTGCTCAAGGTTTTGGTTAGGCTGATCATGAAGTTTTAGTTTGATGTTGTACCTTTTTTAGCAAGTGCCCAGTGCAGAGGTTGCATAGGGTTCAGTTCCCTGAGGCATTCAAATCAGACTTGGACTTAGGGAAAGGCATCCCCTAAGGAAGTCACAAAGTACCATTGAAGTTCCTAATACCTGGTACAGTGAGGAGACAACTCTCTTGCCCTAGCTTCTTAACCCTCAATGAAGAGTGCAGTGGTCTCCAATGAAGGGCTGGGGAGCAGTTGCCAAAGTAAGAAAGCTGTTGACAGTTGGAAATGTTTAAAGAAGGAATCTTGATCTGTCCTGGAAGAGCTATTGCTAGCTAGACAGTGCCCAGATGAGTTAACTTAATGAAGTTGTGGTGTAATTAAATCACAGTGGTTAAATTTTGTCTACATTTAATGTCTGGGATACATGCATGTTGAACTTCAAGATGCTTTTATTAACGTGGCATATCTTTTCAAAGGTCTGCTACCATACACTGGGATTCCTTAGCCTTCCTTTTCTTTGATAGGAGTGGAGAAGATTGCATTAGCCTTGGAATAGTTAAACTGTTCTAACTGTGAAACCACGTATAGTGCTGGTTTTTTTCAGAAGCATGAAGGGGAGTTATACTTCCCATCGGAGTGGAACGCTTATCTCCCATTTGTACCTTTGCAGTCGTCTCCCTCTGGCTTTTACTTTGAACTTTTATACCACTTTCACATGGTAGTCTTTCTGAAATGCCAGTTTTGTTCTTAGAGATGGTCTCATTCCTTCTCATCAGGTAATGATGTTGTATGTCACCTTGGAACCATTCATTCAAATTCTATTAATTTAAACAAAATACAAGAAATTGCTTAACTTTTTCCTCTGGCTTTTGCCAGAGAGAGGATAACCTTTTGATGTGAAGCTATATACATGATTAGATGTTAATGCCTGGACTTCACACACGAAAGTGTTCACTATGTTACATGAAACTTTAAAAATGGCTCAGAAATTCTTTCAACCCACAATTTGTTGTTACATATGTGTCCTGTTTTTTTCTGTTTCAGATATGCGTTGGAAAAACAAATTCTGGGGAAAGTCCATGGAAATTGTTCCAATTGGTACAACACATGCAACTCTGCCAGCGTAAGTGCTGTGATAGTATGTTACTGCTTAAAACCAAAGTTGGTCTGCATTTGCAAGATAAGAACATAATTCCAGTATAGCATTATTTTTCCAGAAGTGTTTTTACTTCTGGCCTTATCAAAAATCCCTTAAGAGCTCTCTTGTCAATACCTGTTAACATTTTATCATTTAAATTGTCTTACAAATAAATAAATGATTTTTTTAGTCATTGAGGAAAGTCTGCAGGCTTAATACTACTATACAGTATGCAGAAGACCTAGTCTCTTATTTGACTCCATTAGTCAGCCTTTACAATGATATGGCTCTTTGGGGCAAGTACAGTCTTTCTGTTATGGGTTTGCACAAATGTCTAAACTGGGGTCCTAGTGTGTGTGTGTTCGAGGGCCATTACTGTAATTTGAATGATCAGCCGCAAGAACAGATTCTCGTATTCAGTATTGAAGGAACTCGGCTGGTAACAAAATGAACTGCCTCAATCAGCTTGTGCTTCATAAGAGAAATACGGACTATCCCTGTACTGACCTGTCGCACATCCCTCTCGCTATAGCAGAAGATTAAAACCACAGCAGAATCTGGCTCATTTCAGGTTTCTGTTGGAGAGCGCATCTCTGAAGTTTGAGCCCTGTTCTAATTAAATCCACTATTTCCTCAATCAGGCCTACAAATGTAATTTGCCACTTAAACTCTAATGGGTGAAACATTGCTATTTCGATGTATATATGCAAAATATTTGTTCATGTGCAGATACTGTATCAAGTTTTTAGAGGGGCTGGAGTGCTGGTGTAGAAATAATGAGAACATGGCTTACAGTGAGAAGATGACTGAGACTCTCTCTGAGTGCTTGCAGACATTAAAAAAAAAAACAACAAAAAAACAAAACCATAAAACCCACGCTTTACTTTAAACTCTGTACGCTCCCACGCTGAACCCAGCATATGCCCAAAAGATATAGCACATTAGTTGGACCCAGCTTGCCCAATGTCTGTACAGATCAGGTGCTTAGTGAGGATTTTATGGTACTTTTATCTGTTGAAGTAACATACTGCTGCTTCCGGTAAAGCACATTTTTGGGGGTTTTTTAACGTCTGCAAGCAGACTCTGTGGTCATCTGTAGAAAGGTGGGTAGTAGGGGTGTGCGAAACAGGCCGTATTCCATTCAGATTCAGCCCGAATTGAGAGCGATTCAGATCACTGTCCCGATTTTTGATTTGGCCGAATCCGAATCTAAAGATTTGATGCTGATTCAAAGAATCAGTGATTCAGCCATAGATGCAGCTTTAAATGTTTGTTCTACGTACCTTGAGGTACCAGGAGCAGCTCATGAATGCTGCCATGCTGGGGCTGATGGAGCAACCCACAGGAGGTTTGTGGGGGGTGGGCCCCCCGCATGCTTGGTGGCAAACCCGAAAGTGGACTGGAAGCACTTCCGGTCCACTTCCGGGTCCACCGCTGAGTGCACAGGGGGGCCCCCACCATGATCCCCGCCCCAGCCCGGCGATCAACTGCGGTGGGGTGCTAGGTGTCCCCCAGACCCAGGAGGGCACCAGTCACTGAGCTGGGGGCGCGTGGGGGCCCCCCAGCACACTCTGCGGCAGACCTGGAAGTGGACCGGAAGTGCTTCTGGTCTGCTTCTGGGTCTGCTACTGAGCATGCTGGGACCCCCCCCCCCCCATGGGATGCTCCATCTGCCCCAGCATCTCAGCATTCATGAGCCACCTGGTACCTTGAGGTATGTAGAAAAAACATTTAATCTTACCAAGTCTCTCTGAATTGATTCAGAGGGTTCCAATGCAATTCGGAGAAATTAAAGGGTCTCCTGATTCGATTCGGGTTCAGAGATTCAGCCACTGAATTGGGCCAAATCTCTACCAAATCAAATCAGCAACCAAAGTTTCACACAGGCCTAGTGGATAGCCATGTTAGTCTGAAGACAGGCAGAAAGTAGAGCAGGGTGGTATCTTAGAGACTAACTGGTTCAGAGAGGCACAAACTTTTGTAGTCAACAGACTCCCTCATCAGAGGCTGTTTTATCTGTTCCCATTTAAACTTGCCCCTGCAGTATAAAGTCCTTAAAGTAAGGAGTCAGTTTTTAATGCACATTGAAGTATGCCTGTATATGTGAATAAAATGCAATCCAAAAATTCCAGCTCTGAAATCACTCTTTGTTCCTTGTTATTTTAATTCATGGGAAGAATGAAGAGATATAACATACAGCTTGCCTGGTTTTGTTTGCTCGTGTCAAACAGGAACAATGAGGTGCTCTATGGGAGTTGGTCTTTCTCTATTTCTTTTTATGCTGTGTAGGATATTGCTGTCACCATAAGTCCACTGTATCCTTTTCTGCTGAGGAAGGAGCTATGCCTGTCAATATCCAAAAACTACTGACTCAACAAAGCATAGGAATCAGACCTACAAAAATCAATCTTAAATCCAGGGCAGAGGGTGTGGGAGATATTCAAAGGTGAGAAAGATACTAGGTGAGCAGTGGAGAAGACTAAAGTGAAAAGGAAGGAACAGGTTGGCTTCCTTCTCCCTACCACGGTCTCCCTGATGAGTGTCACCACTTCCCTCAATTTCTTTAGAAGCAGCATAGTCACTCTTGTATTGGAAATGTAGTGGAACACTTTAGAAAAGTGGGCAGATCCACCTGTGAGATTCTTAATAGGAAAAATATTGCTAGGAGGTAGACTCCTGCCCTTTCTCCATCATCATGACAATGCCTCTTTCACCATTCCTCTATATATCATCTCCATGTATTATCTTTTTCTTTCCTTTGTTTTCTATTCTAATTGTCATTTGCAAGGCAATGTGTAAGGACTAAAAGGTATTCACATATCACCATAAGTGTTTGTGATGTGTTCATCTTGTCACTGGGCACATCATTCATAGGTTGGGGTCTAGATTACACTGGAGGATGGTCTTTGGGCCATGTATGGTCTGAAGGTGATGGTTTATATCCTTACAACAAGCTTTTTATGAAGGGCTGGCTGTAAGAGCACTATAACGGTGGATGTTTAATAGAACAGAAGGGAAAAATTAACATAAGTTTTAAAATGTAATATTCATTCTTATTGAGGAAGCTGTGTGAAATGAAAGAATAATAAAATATTCATCTACTCTCCTGTATTGTCTTCATTGTCCATTTTTTTAAGAATAATTAAAAGGTAAATGTATGTGATATGTATTTTTATTTTTAATCTATTTTCCTTGCACTTTTGCTTAAGTGTGCAATTGCCTCTTTAGTAGCCAGTTGATAGGCCAATCTTCTTTATACTGTAACCTGGAGCACATGCACATTTTTTTTTGCTTAAAAGGTTTGGTTTTTCAAAGCTCACTGAAATCAGATAGAAAGATGCCATGAACTTCAATGGGTTCTACATCCAAGCCTCTCCATGTTATGAATTGTGAACACTTTGCATTTTGTGAAACAGATATTTTTAGCACCTTTTCCCTCAATTAATTATAGTGTATCACAATTACTACTTCTGTAAACTTCAACTACTTAGGATGAGCTGAGAAAATTAACTGAATCTAATGCTCCATTTGCACCAGAAGTGCAAAGTGTTTTGTAGGATACAGAAGTTGTAAGATACAGGTCTAGGGAGAGGGAGGCAAAGGGGAGAAAAATTCATCCAGAAAGTTCTGTTTTTAAATTTTTATTCAACAGGTTCCTCAATCCATCATTTGTGCTGAATTAGTTGGTATATTTTTTTTAAAATAATTTGCATCCAATTTGCCTCTCTTTTTCCAAGTTTTAGAGATCATTTTGTGTGGAACAAGGTGACATCCTGCATCCATAACATCTTGAGTGGGCAAAGATGGATTGAACACTATGGAGAGATCATCATCAAAAATCTGAATGATGACACTTGTCATTGCAAACTGACTTTCATGAAGGTACCTTTTAACTGCAGCAATGTTAATACCCTTTCTATTGAACCCTGTTGTGAATATGATACTATATAATAAAGTCAAGTTCAGCTGAGTGTTTGTGCCCTTTTAGACTGCTGAAGAATTGCATTTTCCTTTTCTTTTACTGTAATTTCTATTGCTGCTTTGGATATTGGTGACCATTAAGTGGAAAAAATACAAGAGTTGTGTTCCATTTGGGAAAGCAGGAAATAAAAGCTGCAGCTTTTTTAAGGAGACTCCTTCAGAGAAACAGAAAAGAATGCAGCGATTGGGGAAAGGATGTCAACATGGGAACCATGTGGCTGTTTACACAGCAAAAATTGATTCAAGTGGCCTCTAGCACTGGCTCACTCTGTGCCCCCAGCTAAACCACTATAATCTTCTCAAGTTGCCCTCTGTTAACAGCTGTAGTGCTGGTCCTTGCAATCAGGATGCTTAACCAGACTGAAGTGAGCAATTAGCATTCTCCTGTCTTATGTATATGCAGCATAGCTTAGTTGAGCTTTTGGGCTTGCATGTCAGTAGAAGACATCAGGCATAAAGGCATCAGGCATATGTGCATGGCAGGAGGTACAATTGTGGGTTCAAGTATCTGATCCCATTATGCCATATTGCCAGATCAGAGGGAGTCTGGGATCAGGATCCTGGGCTCCCCGTGCACCAGCAGTCTTCACTCCCATGGCTGGGAGACCTGTCAGTTGATTGGCGCTCTCTGCCATGGGGCATACCATGCACACCTGCAGCTGAAAGCTCCAACCAACTGGCAGAACTCCCAGACATGGGAGCATCATGTACTCCTGTAGCTGGGAGCTCCATTACGTGATTGGGGCTACCAGGTAGGAGAGAACAATGAGCTCCCAGCTTTGTGTAATAACTTTATTGCTTATTCCTGGTTTTTATCATGTCATTTATTGATTGAATGTGTAGTCCAGTCACTACTTGAGATGTGATTAACCAGTTACTCATTACACTTAAGATATGATTATCAGGGGTCTAAGTAAATCAGTGTGCCATAAATCCTACATATAGCTTTTCTTAAGTAAAACACCCTACAAGAAGTGGCATTTGTTCCTACAGTAAGACACAATATCAGCTGCAAAATGATTGATACGTATGTCTTGTCAGTGATGTTTCTGTTAACTTTAATTCTAGGCAAAATATTGGAGTCCTAACGTGCATGAGATTGAAGGCAGTGTTATAAATAAAAGTGGGAAAGTAGTGCACCGCTTCTTTGGAAAATGGCATGAGAGTTTATACTATGGGACCTCATCTTCTCCAAGTTGCATATGGAGAGCAAGTTAGTGAACAAAAAAAATTGCTGCTTGCAGAATTGTAAATGTGTTTAAGAACGAAGTTACCATGTATTCATGTGTCTCATCTGTTCTTTCATTAAAAGTATATGTTAGGTTGTATGCAAATCTGCTGTTCTGTAAAGAGTAACATTTAGAGAGGCTGATTTGTGATCAACTAAGTGATATTATATAGGTTGAAGAAATGAATTGCATGGTTTTGACCTCTTCTCCCCCCTCCCCCCACCCAGCACCACCACCATTGTGTGTCTCAGTTGTGCATTTGGGCATGAGCAATTACAAAAAAATACAATGGGTCCCTTTTACTTTCTAAAGAGGTTTTCACAGGCACGTTTCCTTAAACCATAGCAATAGCACACCAAGCTCAGGTCTACAACCTGATCAGAATCAGACACATTTCCTTCCCCCAAGTAAGATGATTTGTACTCCATGCTACTAGAGCAGGGAGAAAGCTGTGATGTCATGCCCTGTCTTCAGTTTCGTTTTAGGTTTGGGGCCCTTTGAACCTCTTTGATTGGTGTGAACTTTAGCATTTACATGGCAAAAGAGCGGAGCTTCATAATGTATTATGTTTTTTTGCGGCAATATTTCAAATGAGTCCCATTCCCAAGGCAATAGTGCATTCAGGAATAAGCAGTTGACAGAGAGATGATTTGTAATTTAAGTTGTTTTTTTTAAAAAAAACAATGAAGATTGGGCATTCTAATATAAATACATCTCCTTTCTTTTTTAGATCCAATGCCTAAGGATTATGAGCAGTGGTATGGATTTACACAGTTTGCATTAGAATTAAATGAATTGGACCCACAAACAAGACCATTACTGCCAGCCACTGACACACGCTTTAGGCCAGACCAAAGGTAATTGTTTTTCCTATAAAATCTTGTCATATAGTCCCTGTGTAGTAACTTAATTCCTTACTCAAGATGTCTTGCATTGTTTTTTTTTTTGCTCAAACTCCCATGACTGCTATCATGACAGCATGTTCATTACTGGTGGTAATGACAGAAGCTTTAATGTTGATCTGGTGCAAATATTTTAATTGTTTGCTCAGAGCAGATCTAGTCATCACAGACCAAGACTTTCAAAAGTGGTTTTGGTACCTTGCTTTTAGAGCCTTTTTACAAGGTCTGGGTTTTCAGAGGATGAGTGCACAGCATTCTCTGAAAATTGCCCCCCACCCCGCAGGTGTATCTCCCTTTGGGCACTTAACAGTTGAAGCCTCAAAAATACTTTTGAAATCTTGTTTTAAATGCTGGGAGCCAAATCATTTGTCTTGAGTGAAATTTCTACTGTAGCTACTGCTGGTGCAATTTTATAAGGAAAAATATGGACAAGCCTTTGTTATATTTTTCTTTTTTATATGGCATAATGAAATGTCATTTTCTGCAGATATTCATTCTTTGCTGTACCTGAACTACAAATTACTTTGGTGTTAAAGCTAAAATTCTAGGCCTCTGGAGTCAAACTGAGAGCATTAAAAAGATAAGGCGCAGAAGCACTGATGATTTTTGTTTTTATGTCTTTGCTGCACCATAGACTTTTAGAGGAAGGGAATACTGAAGGAGCTGAAATGCAAAAGCAGAGGATTGAGCAACTACAGAGGGAACGGCGAAAAGTTCTAGAAGAAAACAATTTGGAGCATCATCCTAGGTTTTTCAGGTACTGTGACATGATGGCAGATACTGCAATTTAGTAAAGCTGTTTTTTGTTTTGTGTTTTTGGTTTTGTTTTGCTTTGTCACAGCACTTGCTTTGTACTACTTAAGAACAGGCTGTCAAGATTTCCAAAGTTTTTGTTACTTAACCATTACGCATTAGCTCGTAACTTAAGAGGTGTAGCCAAAGATCAAATCTTGTCCTTTTATAACTCTTATAACCTTTTTGTCTTGTTGCTATTTTTTATCTGAAAACACATTACAGTTTGTAAGTTTTGACTTCTTCTCAGCCCTTCATGTAAGTTGAAATGGGAAGGGTGACATTTCTGGCTCCTCTGTGCAAGCCCTCCATGCACAGAAGTTGCATGGAATATTGTGGGAATTCCACAGTGCAGCAAATTTTATAGGAAGGGCTCTTCTGTTTCCTGGACTATCAGTCTCATGCTTTAGATGACCAGTAAAGTCACTTGAATCATTTGAACATGTTTTGCCTAACTAAGGGCAAGAGAAATAAAATTGGAGGACACTGTTACTCCTGCACTTGCAACATTAAATGTTTAACCCGAGGGTTCAGCATACAAAGATTAAAAGGATAGGTTGGCAGATGAAGGCAGTGCCCTTCCCAGAATTCTTAGTCCAAGACCTTTTAGGTAGGATAAATTTAACAATCATGTATGTATGAAAAAAGTTCTAAGAATTTGTGAGACCAGAGAACAATTCAGGAAATTATTTTCATCTTTGACAGGAAATCCATAGATGACTCCTGGGTGAGTAATGGAACATACCTGGACCTTAGAAAAGACCCTGGCTTTTCCAGACTGGACAGTCCTGTTCTTTGGTGAAAGAAGACCCAAGAGGATATGTGGCTGGATTGTTCTGATTAATTTATAAAGCAGTACACATGTGTGCATGCACACACACAAGTACACATACACACATGTATATATAAAATATATCTTCTAGAATTGTGCTTAAGTTAGAATCTGACACTTTCTTCATTTGATTGCTCTACTATTTGATAGTTATCATGATTGAATGTATAAAATCCCAAATTTCCTTTTTATAAGCTATTTAATAAAAACTATCAAATGGAAATGGCCAGAGGGAAAAGAGGAGCTTTAACACTACTTTTCCAATGAGTAATAATGCAAGTTCAAATTTAATGTATGCCTTATTGAATTGTGCTGAAGAAAATATTAGCATCTCCTAGCTGAACTAAGAGACGTGAACAGGAACCGTGGTTACTCAAACTGTAGGATGGCACCATGGTTTGCATGAGTAGACCAGTGGTCTCTCAGGCAGTGTTCACTTCCTTGAAACAAAGAACATCAGCTGGTGCTGACTCTGTGGTAACCCATTTTCCTCTAGAGAAGGTTCAGTAAACTGATTTTTTTTTTTTTCTGGTTGTTACTGGCTCATTGAAAGAGTTAGTGCTGAGTAAAATCAGTATTGTATTGGTCGTTCTGCTGCCTTACATACAGAATTGTACCCTGCTACATATAGTGCTATATGTTCAGGAATCACTGCACCTTCCCACTAGGTATCTTCAAATTTATAGCCTCTAAAAAGGCAAAATTCCTTTCATGGTTAATGCTTCAGCACTGATCAGATGATAGAAGATGTTCTCTTTTCCAGTAAATAAAAATTACATAGAGCACAAAAGCTTATGCTTCCATAGCCTGACTTATTTCTACTAACTAAAAAAAATTGCAACAGGAAGACTTTTTAAAAACTTAGCTAAATAACCAATTGTTTTAAGGTAAAAGATGTTTTCTTAAATATTATTTTTGATATTTTCTACCTCTTATTATAAGCAGCATATTTAAAATCTTGTATAAAAAGTACCATATGCCTTATAGTGAAATGTATGGAATCTTTGCTCTTCCTTTACCTGTTTGTTGTGTTCAGATAAATATTTAAGTGTCTTGCACTAAATTGTTTGGATCTCTTTCCTGTCCCCTCCATTTATATGGATAGTATTTTTTCATGAGTATAAACTATATGTCCAGCAAATTGTAGTAGGAAAAAGATGCAAAGAAAATTGCATTTTTACATAGAGATGGAGGGTGTTGGTGTTGTTCCTCTCCCCTCCCCTCCACCCCCAGCCTGAAGTCGCAGGAATACAATGACAATCTCTGGCACAGTTTACATTCCTGCCCAAACTAGAACACAAGCTCAGCCCATAATCTTACCGATCTAGTGTATGCAAATCCTGTGGGAGATGGATAGTAGTAATGAAGTGTTTGCACTCTTAAGGTTCAACTTTATTTTTTGCATTTAAGCTACTAAGGGATGGTTTAAGGTTAATAGCATGTATTAAAGCCCAAGGGACTTTGCCAATGCTGCCATGTATAGCCAACTTATTATTGGAAGTAATAAGCAGAAGATGTAAGAGCTAAGGAAACTTCAGAGGGATCAACAGCTCTGAAAAGCTTCCAATCTACTGTAGATCCTCGCAGTTTTGAAAGAAAAATTTTTCCTGCAAACACTTGGATGAGTGTATTGTATGATGTATGACATTAAACAGATACCATAAAAATTTCCAGTTTAAAACAGTTCTGTGATTTCAGTTCAGATTTATTATTTAATTTTGCCTGCTAGCATCTTTGATGCTTCACTTCATCAATTTGGAGCCCAGCTGCTATATTAGCAGTTTCAGTCCCTTTGCAGTGTAGATCTTTTTCACTCATAGTTGCAGCATATTCCCTAAGCATAGTTCTTTTTATTTAATGTATCCTTTAAATATATAGAACACAGTACCTGTTTAAAGAGCCAGATTAAAATAGTGTGTTCAGCTTAATGCAAAAGATGGAAAAAAGCTGGGTTTTATAACTCAAAGGGAAAACTGATCCACTGGGCACAGTTAAACTTTGAGAGAAAACAAAGGAATCTGGACTGTCAGATCCCCTGTTGTTTTATTCTTGCATTATCAAACTCTGGCTCAGGAATTATTTGGTGTTTCTAGTATCTCTACAACTTCCAGTTACCACTCACCCCAACCACGGTCTCTGGGCCTTTTTTCCCCCTTAAAAAATTTAGAAAGGAAGAAAATTCTCAAGTAAAGTATATGAAGGAAACTAAAATAGTAGCTTTTTCCTTGTTACAATTGTTAGATGTTACCATTGCTGTCTGCTGTGACCATTATTGTTATACCATCTGCATACTATGTAAATTTTTTCAAACCTATAGTAATGCATAATTCAGTATTTCCCCCATCAGCCTTGGGAGCAGGTGCAGGGACAGGAAACCTGCCTGCTGAAACTGACTCCCCCCACACCC